AGAGAGAGAGAGAGAGAGAGAGAGAGAGAGAGAGAGAGAGAGAGAGAGAGAGAGAGGTAGGTAAATTGCCTTTTTAAGGAAAACAAATAGAATAACCACATTCAGGCCTAATAATCTCCTCATGGTTGTTCCTCTGCAACCCATTAGTTTCTTCCGCTTTGGGTGATGATAGGTTGGATTACATTGTTGCTGTGGTGATACGCATCTTTCCATCGTAGAGGTTCATGTTCCTCATTTTAAACTCTCTCATCCAACACTGAACCTTGCTTACCATACCACACTAGCAGTCAGGACACAACAGATGCTTTAATGATTACTTAGAAAAAGCCACATACCTTGTAGGAGTCTCTCACCGCCTCTCACCTTCTGGTAAGCTTGAATTTGGCTCGGTTTAAAAATTGTAAAATGACACAGTGCTTTTCTAATGCTGATTTGTTGCTCTGCAGTTTAAGACCCCTCAAGGTCTCCAAGGATGAAATCCACATCCTCATCCACCACTTCCCACTGCTGTTTGGGGCTAATGCCTGCTTTGCCCAATTTTCCCTGTGTGCATTCCTTCCAGAGTTTAGGCTCTGTCCCTAGCTCATCTTACCCTACGTGGTCTTGTCTCCTCTCTTCTAAATCATTCACATCCTTGGGAGTTTCCGAAGTGTCATTTCTACGGCCTCTGCTCTGTAGAGAGTGATCTTTCCTGTCTAGACGGAGAGCTTCCTGCTACTGTCAACAGCACAGCTATCTTTCCTCAAAGCTTTGGTATAATAGATACAAGATGTGTAAGATAAAAAGCCGGAGAATCTTCCTCACCAGCTCCGCCATCCCCGCCCCTCCTCTCAGCCAGCCACTGAGGAACTTAGTGTTGCTCCTCCCTTGTCTGCCTCTTCCATCTCATCCTATTGTTGAGATTCCAAAAAAAAGGGAAGAGAGGATTTTTAAAAATGATTTTGTTTTATATGTTCTGGAACGTTCTGTAAAGTTGTGAATGGTTTCCTTCCGTAAACATATTTTTAATATTTTTTTCTCTTAACATGCTGTTAATATACTGCTACTACATCCAGCTTCCGTTCATTCTCCAATATGTAAATAAAATTTCAAATCCAATTCTCCTTTTGAAGGCATTATGGGTGCTTCTTGTTGACATGACTTGTGTAAACAGAATGTTAATTACTTTTCTTGTCATTAAAAACCCAACAGATGCAACGTAAGGGAAGAGAGATTTATTTATTTATTTATTTATACTCAATTTCCGATGCTCCAGTCCCTCATGACAGGAAAGATTTGGCAGAAGCCTCAGTTCATGGTGGTGGAATGTGTCCTAGTCTCTGTTGGCCCATGGCCATCTCATAATGCAGAATGTACTCAGTTCCACCTCAGAAATTCCCATAATCTTAATACTCAGCTCCATTCAAAAGTCCAAAGTGTGGGCTGGAGAGATGGCTCAGCGGTTAAGAGCACTGACTGCTCTTCCAGAGGTCCTGAATTCAAATCCCAGCAACCACATGGTGGCTCACAACCATCCGTAATGAGATCTGATGCCCTCTTCTGGTGTGTCTGAAGCCAGCTACAGTGTACTCATCAATAAAATAAATAAATATTTAAAAAAAAAAAAGTCCAAAGTGCTTTGAGAAGCAGAGGAAAACTCTTAGCTGTGAGGTCCTATAAAACAAGTATTACAGCATACAAAGTCATAAAGTAACTATCCCTAATTCTACAAAGTAAGTCTGAGAGAACAGCAAGGAAAGACTAGACGGCTACAAGGCTAAATCTTAGCAGGGCAAACAAAGGCTGCATCTCAGTGTCCAGTGTCTGGAACACACAGTAGCATAATCTGAACATCAGTGTGGTTTCACGTTTCACCCTGCCAGAGTGTGGGAAGGCTGCTTGGGCAGGCAAAACAGGAGATACTCAGCTCCGGCTACAGAGGGTTTAGATTGCGTTTACACCCACTGTCAGGTGATGGGCTCACAGGAAGCACCAATATACCCTCTGGGTGGGAAAATGCAGCCTGGTGTAGAAGGCCAAAGCTGGGGTTCCCAAACTCCCAGGTGTCCAGTCACCGCTGGAAACCACACAGAGGGAGTCAGGAACCATAGGCCTACAAAGAGGAGCCTGGGCCGGGGGCTCCCAAACTCCTGGATATCCAGACGACTGAGTAAGTGGTGGGGAGTTGGGAACAGAGTTGGGTCCTGAGGCTGAGGAGCCCGGGGCAGGGGCGTTGGGGGAGATGGGGAAATCTGGCTTAGCTGATCAGTGGTGATTGTCCTTAGCTGCAATTGTCTGAGAGCATGGAGGGGCCTTTTCAGGCTTAGCTGATGGCTCTGTAAACAAAGGAGCCCCACTCCATGCGCCCCACTGCAGTTCTTGATGAGAGAGACAGTCCTTGGTTCCAAACTTTATTGATTGTTCATCATGGAAAATGGATACATGGTAGGCCAGAGATTAAATACCTGTTGCAGGAATGTCCAGGAAGGGAAGCGTATTAGCTAACTCTCAGGGCCTCTAGATACTTCATTAGCATGGAGAAGTCTGTTCGGATCCATATCAGTTCCTATGTAGGGAGTGTGGTCATGTGACAGGGGCTGGGTTGGAAGTAGGTAAAGCTCCCACCATCCTCTCTGGGTTCCAGTGCTTCCAGCCCGCTCAACCTTACCAAGTTTTCTGGCACAGTCCACTGCCTCACACAGCAATAGGCTTCTTACAGCCAGGCTGCCTAAAGCATGCATGGGCTTTCTCCTGGGCTGGCTCCAATCAGTACCCACTGCTTCTCCAACAGATGTTCTATGTTCTTGTCATCTCCCACATCCTGGGGTCACAGTTAAAACTAGGTTTCACCTTTATAGCTTCACACAACCTTTCAGAGCCTTTCTTCAAGAAATCCACCCTATTATACATTGTTCTCACAGGCTTGTTATGGGACTATGGGACACATGTCTCTGCCCCATGACCCTTACGTTGTGCTTTCCTGCAAAACCAGTATTATACAGATGGTGCCAAGTCCTGCCACCGTCTTGAAATGTAAACTTCGGGCTATAGCATTCTGTAAGCTCCTATATAGCTGAAATAGAAAAGCTTCTCTCCTGTGTATTCCTGCTTGAACTTTTGAAAGGAAAGACCTTTAAACAGCTTTCCGTTTTCATACTGTGCAGCCATCCATGGGTGTAGTCTTGCTCCTACAATATCAGCAATGTGGCGTGTGTGGTTTCTCCTAGTGTACCAATCACTTTAACAGCTTTGCACCCACCTCGTCTTTGAAGGTGCTTATTTCCCAGAACTTTGTTTTTCTCACATCTTTCCACTCACTCCTTAATTTGCACTATAACTCTGGCTAAAAGCAGGAGATGACCACCATGCCACAGCCTGAATGTCTTGAAATTCCCCTCCACCAAACAGTCTTTGAATTTTACATAAATGTCCCGTGTCTAGTCCAGTTCCCAATGGGTTCCTTTTTCTCGGAGACTTCTGAACTACCACATTAAGTTTGACGTACACCATTTGAGGACTTCTCTAGCTGCTGCTTCAGACTTTTCCACATTTTCCCCACAAACCAGTTCTGAAAGCCCGATAGTAGGTTCCCTGCAACACAACCCTACTTCTGGTACCATTTCATTACTTTTCTCATCACGAACTGACTACCTGAGAGAAGCAACTTAAGGACAGACGGATTAATTTGGACTCCCTCATTCAGAGGCAACTGTACACATGACAGACAAGGCATGAACAGCAGAGGGTTCCAAGTGTGATCAGAACGCAATACATGTATGGAATTGTCAAAAAATAACTTTGTAAGATTGTTTTTGAAGTAACATGAAAAAAAAAAACTATTGCAGGATTTTCAGTGGTCCTGCTTGGTGTTTAATGATAAAGACACTGAGACATCCGTATAGTATAAGGCTGTTGTTCTGTTTTCTGGGGCAGTCTCTCAGCTTGCCCATCTAACGTAAGCCTACTATTCTACCATTTTGTCTCTCCATGTGGCAAGCTCTCTCTCTTTCAATCTCTCTCTCTACCTCCCTCCTCCATTCTAGTCCATGTTTTTGTGTCTCTGTCTGTCTGTCTGTCAGTCTGCAGGTCCTTCTGCCCCAGCAATGGCTACAAGCTCTTTATTATGCAAAAAGCCAGAGTCCTTACTCATCCAGTTAGCACTGGGGGCTAGGTGAAAGGGCTGCCTTTCTCTTAGGGCAGATGAGAAACAAACATTCACATATTTGGCTAGTCAGCCACAGGCCCAGCAATTAACAATTGAGGAAACAGGCATACTTTTTCATAGCCAATAAATACAATGTCTGTGGTTCACCCTAACCAAAACCTGCCTGGGAGAGTGTTAACTGAAGGAAAGAAGTACAATATTCACTGATATTCCACCTCAGACTGCAGATAGTTAAAGGAGAACCACACATCAGAAGAACAGTTTTTCAGAAAGGCCCTAACATGTGTTTCTTTTCTTTTTCTCCAAGATGTTCTTCCATTCAGCCAAGGTCTTCAGGATTTCAGATGTCTTAGGTCGGTCCATGGGTTCCTTTGAGAGTAATTTCTGTAGAAGGCTTTTCTGTTAATTACAGGTAAGAGTCAGTATTAGGAAAGAAAATAGTGGAAAAGATAAAACTGACGGCTTACAAGTACTTACTTCTTTGTTGTCGAATATATCATCAGAGAAGACGCCATTTCTTAGACTTTCAAAAAACTGAAATAATGAATAGATGTATTTACTAGACAGTGACTTACATGGGAAGAAAGACTAAACACAGTAATAGCTGGAGACACACTAAAGCTAGAAGATTTGTAAAGTTTAGGGCAGACTCTTTAGTCTAAGAAGCAAGCAAAACACCCCTCCGCATCCTACCCCAATCATATGACCATCCTTAACAGGCAATGCTTTGAAGTGAAAGGTGCAGGAGACTCCTCATTTCCCCCTGTTTTGGAATGCGAGGCAGTGCATCTCTCCATCACTTCTATTTTAAGGAAGATAAGGCTCTGGACTCCAGGTAAGCCTTCTTTCCTGAGCTTCCAACTAGAATGTCCAATAGCCTGCTGTCTCCAGTGATTCCTCACCACCTACACAACAAAGCCCAAACTCTTTCCAGTTCCACCAATCACCAGCTTCAGATAAAACCATACAACCTGTTAGTCCCAACACATACTGCACATTCTAACCTCCATGTGGGATTACATGCTTTTTATTTCAGACTATTAGAGTGAACTAACTCAGGTTAGTTGTCTTCTGACTGCCATGAGCTTACCAGAGCATGTGAACACATGCGTGTGCGTGTGTGTATGTGTGTGTGTATGCCCTTAAATAACTTCCCCCGTAAAACCCCAGAAAACAAAAAAGCAAAATAAAAAACAAGCAACCTGACCCTTCAGTAACCAACTTATATGCTTCCATGAAACCTAAATCCAGACTTCTGGAAAGATTTTTTCCACAGACTTTCTGTCTTCTAAAGCTAGTTATTCCCTGATGTTGTCTTTTTTTTCCTCTTACAAAATGAATCCCTTGAGAAACTAGCTTGTTCCTCTTTACATCCAGGTAGTACTTAGAGCAGAAACTTCCCTCTAATCAGTGAGGTTTTGTTGACAAACCTGAATGGGAACCTTATGGGCTATACACATATTCTAAAGAAAGCCAAAGTTTTTAATCTATAGCAAAATGGCTGGCAACACTTGAAAGAGAAAATATGTTTCCCTGACAAGCAGAAGCTAATGTGGTCACGTACACCCTCACAAAATGGCAATAGCAGTAGTGCTCAAAGGACTGTCAATGCTTTAGTTTCCTTAATTCATTCTCGGGATATTTACCTTTATTTTCTCAAAATAAGTGATGCATATGTGAAGAAGTTCAGCTAGAATAAGGCCCAAAGCAAAGATGTCCACTTCTTTTCCATATTGCGGCAAAGATAACTGAAAGCCAAAATACATGTGTCTTTGTTACTCACTTAATAGAAATCTCCATGCCTTTTGAGAAAAAAAAATAGCTATAAGTGATATATTACACTAAAATGGCTTTTGAACATTTGTAGCAAATGTGCAGCTTGGTCTTCATGTGGGTGCCCTAACGATTGAAGCGCCAGCTGTCTCTGACTCTTTTGCCTTACACTGACTCCCTTCCCTTACCTGGACTGCTGGGTTGGGCCTTAGAGGGAGAGGATGTGTCTAGTCCTTCTGGGACTAGATGTGGTACCCAAGGGGGGCTTCCCCTTCCCTGAGGTGAAGGAGAGGGGATAATGGGAGTAGGAGTTTGGAAGAGCTGGACTTGGGGGAGGTGCAGGCTGTGATCAGGATCTAAAGTGAATAAAAATAAATAAATTATTGGGACAAAACAAAACAAAAATGCCCGTTTATTCTAGATCTCATAAAGTTGAGCACTTACATTAACCATCACATAGAAATAGAAGGAACACAATAGAGGCCATATAAAACAAATCGACAGCTAATTTTTTACTATGTAGTGAAACCAGGAACATTTCCACCAATACTAAGAGTCAGACAATGGGATGGACTTTCTCTGCCCAAATTCAATCTAGTTCTTGAACTCTTACCCAGACAAGAGAAAGATAGAAAAGAAATTCAGACAAAAAAAGCCAAATCCCCATTTGTAAACAATGCAATCCTGTACATAAGAGACTCTACATTTTCTAACAAAAACTCCTAAGTGGCTACAAAGTCAACATCCAAAAATCAGTAGTTTTGGACCAGAGAGATCACCCATGTCTCTACTTTTGCAGAGAACCTGAATTCAATTCCCAGTATCTGTATGATGGTTCACCTATTTCTGACTCCTGATTCAGGGGATCTGACGTTCTTTTCTGGAATCTAGAGGTACCAGGCATACAGATGGTGCAAATACATACATACAGGCAAGCTCATACACATGAAGTAACTTTTTTAAATGAGTAGGTTTTCTATGTTTCAGTAATGAATGTGCTAAAAGAATCAATCAATCTTATTGACAACAGCTTCAAAAAAAATGATACTATGTATGGTGGTACACACTTTTGATCCCAGCACTTGGGAGTAGAGGCAGGTGAATCTCTAAGTTGAGATCAGCCTGGTGTACAGAGTTCCAGGGCAGCCAGGGCTACACAGAGAAACCTAGACTTCCTGTGCTGGTGACTCAGCAGAATTAACATATTAAAAAATGACTGTAGTACTAAAGATAATCAACAAATTCACTGTAATCCCCATCAAAATTCCAATAACATACTTAACAGAAAGGGAAAAAACTTAACATTCATATGGAAGAATAAAGACCCCGGAGAGCCAAAAAATCCTGAATAGAAAGAATACTACTTAAGATATCACTATATTTAATTTTAACTTATATTACAGAGACTTAGTAACAAAAAAGTATGAAAGGGACACAGAAGAAGCATGTGAATTGATTGAATAGAATAAGAAATCCACAATAAACCCACATATCTCCCTCATTTTGACAAAGATGCCAAATGCATACTTTGTAGAAAAGACAGCATTTTTAACAAATGGTCCTGGAAAATAAGATACCTCCTCCACTCCGTATGTCTGTGTGATGGAGAGCAATCAGACAAGATTCCTGACATCCTGACACAACCTCTGGCCTCCATATGCTCATGCACAAACACATACTTACAGGAGAGAGAGAGGGGGGGAGGGGGAGGGGGGAGGGG